TATTCTATCTGAATTTTTTACACAAAAGCCAAAATACAAAAATAGCTATCAGAGAAGTTGTAGTGATATAAGAAAACTACTAAGTTGCTGTCACAAAAAGGCTTGTTTGTTTTTTTAATATCTTCTTTAAAAGTTAAAAACCAGTTATCCAATTCAACTTATGTTCAATTTATGTTTTTAAAAATAATTATCATGGCATTCTAATTTCTTTTAATATAGATGTATAGTGGAAACAAATCTCCAAACAATACTGCTATAAGTGTTGTTAAAATGAGTGAAATGCATTGATATAGAATTATTTTATGATTTGATTGTTTTAAAGTGATTATGTCAGTGAATTTTTAGGATTTTAAAACAATTAGCAGATCTGTTTGATATTTGAACTTGCAGTTATTTCATTCAAACAGCCTTCACTATGCTGACTCTGCATTAAAATCTGTCCACTTTTTGCTGCTTGTATATTTGTACTTTGACTCCTGTCTGCCTTCTAGTTTCTATAACATTTAAATTTGGAAATAATTGCTGTTAAGAATTTTGGCTGGTATTTCCTGTGGTTTTTAATCCTACCGCTTTCTTGTGTACAAATTTTAAGCAAGTTAAATGCATGTCATTATATCAAACTATAAAGAAATACTTCTCCTTCAATGTTTTGTCACTTGAAAGAAATTCATAGAAATAAGTTATTTGCATTATGTGAATAAAAATGGTATAATGAACACAAGGAACAGTTATGTTCATCTGGTTAATTTCTTGCAGCCATTTAATGTTTTACCAAAAACAACTTGTATAAATAAAATTTTATGGTGTCTTCATTATCGATATGAAGACTGAAGTAGAATTATTTTGCAAAAAAATTTGCAATTGTGAATAGGAATGTAAATGAGCACAATGAAATTAAATAGTGATAGTCTGAATCCAAAAAATGTTTAACATGAGATGCAAACTGTACTTGTAAATAAATTTTGTTTTGTACCTCTGCTTCATTTTTGTCTTAGACATGGACATATTATCATTTTATTTTGTAACTAATTAGCTATTACCCAATTATTCTAGGTCAATGCTTAATAATTTCACAGGAGTAAAAAAAATAATCATTGAAAAAGAGAAACATTAAAAAAAAAATATATTGCATATTTTATGTTTAGTTATGTTGAAAAAGGTTATTTTATATAATATTATATAAGGATGGTGTTTTCAGATAGTGTAGCCCAATGGATACCAGGGATTTCCAAAGATAGAATTGTGGAAACAGAATATCTGTTTATATTTCTGAGATGAGGTATTGTAATTATTTACACAGTTTACATTGTTCAGACTGTTGTCCTCACCTTTGTTGCCATATTCACAACCTTTTGGCCATTGTACGATCCAGCCTTCTTCAGGTGATTGGAAGAGGCATGGCACATGAAACTAGTACAATCTACTCCAGTGAACAAAACAAAGGGTTCAGTTTGAAATTCCAAACGCATAAAAAAGGCCAGAGCATTAAACCGCCAACACATTGTGACTATAGCAACAAAGATGACAACAGTTCAAACAATGTAAATAATAGGAACAGAAGTTGAACATTTTAAGAATTTCCTGCCCAAACACTTAAATGCAGTAAGATCCTCATTATATACTAGTCTGACATCTAATGTTTTTGTTGACCCTGACTAGTTCATTAGTTATCTATAACTCTATACTATATTTCTTAATTGCAGTATTAATTATAGGACAAACTCCGCTGTTGTATCAGATTTTCATGAGACTACAATATTGAGTGAATGTATTCAATATTTAAAAATAAACATGGTTAATTTTATGAAAATATTTTTATACATTTTGTCCTTGTCATGGAATAATTGGGTGATAGTAAGTATAAAAATTTTATACTAAGTAGGTAAAGTTTGCTTATTAAATAAAACTCTAGAAGGAAAGCTTGTCTGAAAATATGATTAGGAAAACCTCCTTATATTTAAATAAAAGCTCAAGTAAGTGGTCAAGATTACAAATAATAATAAAAAAAACATCCTAAAAAGATGTTATAAGAAATCCTGTCATGTACATGAATCTAAGAAGGAGCAACCAGTATATTCTATTATAATTACCTCAACAATATATAGTTTCAAAATGATGTGGCCAACATGTCTTCAACTTTAAAAGATAAGTTTTCATAGGTGTAATTCTGTTCTGTTCCTTCCTTTTGCATCTTGAAGTTATTTCAATGTTTGGCTTCTCTTGACTATGCTTGGACTCAAGGAATAGACTGTGAACTGAAAGAAGAATGTAATTTGATAAGCAAATAGGAAAGAAGAATGGCTCTAATTATTTACCTGTGATGGTTTTTTAAAAAAGTTTTAATTATTGTAAGTTCTTGTCTCAGTTACATTTATTTCTTTGGTGATAAAAATATTTTCTGTATTTTTTGCTGATCATTGGTATGGGTGAATATAATTATCATTGTTATTTTATAAAGATTTGATGGATTTAATTTCCTTTAGAGTTGGCATGATTGATATTTCAAATGATCAGTGAACACATGTTAACTCAGTTTTAATGAAACTCTATGAAATATATAGTTATAGTAAAACCTTAAATGCCACTTTTCCTACTTTATTCTCAGTTTCAATGATACACTTTTGTCAGAAAAGTCAGCATCCGTTGAATGTACTCAAAGTATTAGTAGCATATATTAAATAGTCTCAGGTGACTTGTGTTTAACTTGGAACAGCATTTTTATTTTCAACATTATGAATAAAAAGGCATCTGTTTTAACAGTACTGTATGCAGTCATTTTGAACTGGAGACAAAATATAGATGGAGATAAACAGTAAGAGAAAAAACATCCATAAAATTCCCAAGTATGCAAATATAATTTAACCTCTTCTCAATCAGGTAATATAAATAATAGAAACATTAAAACCATGTGAGAGCTATTTTCAGAATGTTGATTCAGCTGCCTTCCATACAACTGTTTAGAAACTCAGTGTTTCTGTGACTAATACTGAAATAAGTAGCTGACAGAAGTATAACTAACAAAACAAAAAAAATTGTCTTATATTGATAAAGATATCATGGTTACTGCTGGAATTTATGCCATGTCAGATTATTGGAGATTGAAAATAGATTTGTTTGTTTCATTTTGTTTTGTATTCCCAATAGAGCAGTATAGAAAGACAGCTATGAAACAGACAAGAACACTTAACCATTCAGAATATTTTGTGCCTTGTTATTTGACAATAAACTGTTACCTTTTTATTTTTCCCAATATTTACTACTTTCATTATTTATGCCCCAGTTCACTTTTCCATAAACATATACTGCTGGATGATTTAAAGATAAACTGTGCAAAGTATTCTTAACATATATATTATATGTTAACTGTAGACTTCTCTGGTGTTATGACAGATAATTTTAAAGAAACTCAGGTGATTTCCTCAAGTATACATGTTCTAATCTTTATTTATTGTTCAGTCTGTTACCCCCCACACCAAAAAAAAGTAAAAAATTGGTTTCTTAAATTACTTTAAAATGTTACTTGCAAATTATCTGAAAATGATTCACAACCTACTGTAATTTTAGCCTCATAAAGATGCATCTCTTATAAAGATTTATCTAAAAAAAAAAAAAAAAAAAGAAAAATACTGGATGAAAGTTCTCAATGACCTCGGGCTAAATTTTAGATACGTATAGTGATTAAACTTTTCACATGATTTTTCTGTGTATTTTCATTTTTAACTCGACCCTCAATTTAACTATAAATTTTGAAATGTGTTCAAATCTATTTCTCTTAAATGTAAAATGTTTAGTTTGTGTACTTGATTTATATGACTAAGAATAAAATCTTCATTTTTGCTCATATCTTGCTGTGAATTTTTGTGCTTTCTTTGTTCACAACTTTATTATAAATAGAAATAGGTTTCATTGCTTATCTGCACATGAACTTTCATGTGGGTAAGCACCACCAGAATATATTGAGACTCTTAATATTTTCACCTTTCATAATATGTAAAACTTTTGCTTGATGCATTTAACCACATGCATTACATTCACATGCAAGTAAAGTATGTGCATGTTAGGAGGTAGTAAATATTCTAATAAAATGTTCATCTTGTGACATAGTAATATTCATAGTAGTGTACTTTCTGCATCTGAGTTTTAAATATTGTCACCTGGTTTAACATGTGACAATTTAGGTTGAGGAATGTCAAATTTCCCACAATTTCAGAAAATGACTTGTTCCATCTGCCTGGCACCCATATCATGTACTATTTGAACTCTTATAATTCATGTCACTTTGCCAGTGTTCACACTAATTCACCAGATATTAGTACATAACTGATATAGATTGGGGCATTACAATGATGTCAAGGTATGCTGACACCACCTACTATTACTTTTGGCATATTATTGTAGCAGGAACCTTTTCATCACATCTTTCTATTTTTAATGTTACTTGCTATTTATAAAACATTGTGCTACCAGATTCATGAATAACATCTTTAGTTTTTTTACATATATAATCAACTTTAAGATGTAAAAAATCAAACTGTTCAAAAACCTAATTCAAATTTTGTTTTGTGATGTCTGACCTGCTCTTATGGCAGCATTATTATTCTTTTCAATAACACATTTTCTTATATAAAATAATTGAAAATAAGTTTGAAAATTAAAATTTTTTTTTTTTTTTTTTTTAAATAAATCAACCGATATACTTAGTTCATAAGATTGGTTGACAATCAAGAATATGAGTATGAATTGAAATGGGCCTGTATAATGTCTGTAGTGGAAATTGAGTCTGGATGAAATCAGTTTCTGTTTATTGCCCTTGACATTCTTATGATTTTTTTTCTTGATTGTCCATTTTTGTTTTATTTCAGCCAAATATGGACTTTAATGACAACCTTACCTTTGACACAGAATTTGAAGATTTGTTCAGTGACACACTTGGAATACCCAACACATCATCAGACAATGATATAATTAATTCTGAAGATTTGTCTCTATCACCAATTCCTATGGCCACAACTATTTCTTCACAGAAACCCCAGGAAGAAGAGGATGAAATGTTGATGAAGAACCAAGAAATTACAGAAGCCATTCATTCTGACCATGATTATGTCCAACGTTCACCTTTATCTAGTGACAGCAGTGGGTCTTTGGTATCATCCTCTTCACCTGTGCCACCTCAGTCAGTAGAAAGTGAAGAACTCAGTCCCAGTTCATTTAATAGCATTGCTGACAGCCGAGGTGAGGAAGAGGAAGAGGAGGAGGAGGAGGATGATAAACAGTTACACTTGAATAATAGTGGTGTCATGTTAGTGGAAGAGGAGTTCTCAGATGACTATTCCAATATAAATTTGAATACTATTAACAGTTCAGGTCTGTCAATAGAATTAGGTGAGTTATTTTTATTTATTTTTTTTTTTTAAGTTATAATTTGACTCTGTACACACTATTACAGTCTAATTAGATAATTACACTTTTTTTTTTTTTTTTTTTTTTTTTTTTTTTAGCAATGTGAGTTTTACATGAATTAACTTAGCTCCATAAGATTTCTATAAAGTCTACTCATAAGCTGAAACTTAAATCTGTAAACTACATCTGGCAGCATTGGGAGGTTTTGAAGAGTGTGGAACCACCTCTTAATTGCTGTTGTTCCCAGGTCCACTCTGACCTACCTGGGGTGCTAGCACTATGGGAAGATAGTCCACCCAACAAAAACACTATGAAAGTAAAGATATACATTTTAGTAGTAAAAATACCAGCAATACATAATTAGCAATACATTTTATCTGTAATTGACGCCATAAAATTGTGTTCAAAATATTTAGATATTGGCATTAAATAACTCATAGAGGATTTTGATATGTCACTAAACAAAACCAAACAACCAACATTTCTTAAATCAAACTTTATTCCAAAATATAACTTATAAAAACATAAAACACTTGCTGCCTCTAGTAATTATGGTCACATACTTGTATATGTACAAAAGCTGAGTATCATCTACCATGTATTCAATTGTGAAAGCAGAATAACATTTTTATTACTTCAGTTCCCAAGAAAATTAAATTTCGGCATTAAATTCCCCTTTCATATCCCATTAAATCAATAACAAAAATCGACAAACTTAAATCTGTGTTTATTGTGATCATGGTAAGCAGTCATTCCCAATGTCAATCAATTTTTCAATCTTTATTTTTCTAAGAAGTAAAGCTTAGACATAGATTAACAAACATAACGAAGAGGAATTGCACAGCATTGCTTCCCCAACAATGCAGACCTACATACACACTTTATTGTTTCTACATACACTATTGTACCATGCTATTAGCAAGCGCATGGTCAAAATGACTGGTGATGGGCTTGAGGAAAGGAAATCTCAGATTAATTTTTTTTTTATGAATGTGACAGTATCTTCTGGAAGCTGGTTTTAAACTTGGTTTGTGTTTTCTAGTTTGTTATTTATAACACCCATTTTGTTTCTACTTACATGATAGTTAAAGAAACAACCCCATTACCAGATGAACCATAGCACAAACTCAGATACTGTAACAAATTTGACAATTTGTAAGCATTTCTTAATTTCATTGTTATAAATCTACACCTTACTTGTGGCCCACTTATTTGGTATTTTTGATGTATTCAAATAATTCTATCAACAACATATCAAAATTATGGAGTTGCTTCAAAGCAAATTTTTTTTAAGATAAAAAATCTGCTTGTTAATTTTGTAAAATATAATTGTTAAAATAAATATTTTGTGAAACTTTTATTGGTTGAGTAAAGGAATTGTGTCCCCCCCTCTTTCATTATTTCTAAATACGTCCATTAAAAGTTCTATACAGTAGTGCTGCTGCTGTGTGTGTATGTGTGTATATATATTTTTTTTTTTTTTTTTTTTTTTTAAGATCAAGGATTACAAAACATTTTAGTCATAAAGGATTAAAATAATTTGAAACATCACTTTGGCTATAGCGATGTCTACCTTAAAATACCAACAAAGCATCTGCATAATTTAATACACTTGTACTATAAATAAGGATATCTGACAGTTTGTAAAGTGACTTGAATGGAATTTGCTCTTGTGAAAATTTGTAGTTTTTTTTTGTTTTTGTTTTTTTTATAGTAAAAAATGAGTTCTCATACCAACATAATAATTTGAAAAAAATCCCTAAGTTAAAATTTAAATGAATTATATATTTTTATATTTGTGACTAATTTCAGGTTCTGGTGGAGAAAGCATATCTACACACAATGCCTGGGTACTTAATGACAACATTGTTGAAACGGAGCCACCTCAGACGATCAAAGTCATTCGCTTGCCATCAGAAAAGACAGTTGAGTCTTACACAATCAAACACAATCAAGCACAGAATACAGTTTCAAATAAAAACAGCAGCAGCAACAATGTAAGTAATAGTTTCAGGAATATTATTAGATATCTATTCTTAGGCTCTGTAATATTTAGAATCATTTTTCTTTTAAATCAGTTGTAGTTGCTGGAAATAGGTCACAATCCTTTTGTAAAATCCAAGCAAAATTATACCTAACCAAGATTTAAATTCTCGTCTTGTTTGCTTTTTATGAGCAATAAGTCATATCCAAAAATATATTAAATGTATACATATTAATATATGTTGGTATTTCTTGTGTGTAGGGGTAGGTAAGATAACTGAAGTTCAGTGTTCATATTTATCAAAACAGTAACTGAATTCTGTTCTAATAGTTCATTAACTGCATGTGTGTGTATATATATATATATATATATATATATATATATAGATTTTTTTTTTTTATCCGATACTATTTTTATTACTAATGAGATATAGTGTTGGATAAAAAATCCTTTAAAAAATTACTGTTATCTATGTTTCAGATATGAAACTGAAGCTAGCAGATAGATTCATAGAAACTTCAACAACAAAAACATGTTTCTTTAAATCGGTAATTCTAACCTTGCCCTGTCAGGCTGGCTCTATGGCCAAACTGGTAGAGGCACGCATTGATTTAAAACGTGGTTTCCCTGATAGAAAAGGTAGATGCTGGTTCGATTCCTCTCAGAGATACAATTTAACAAAAAAATAAAAAACAAGGTTAGCAACTCAAATATGTGTAACCAATAAAAATAACATAGTAATAAGAAATACAGGCAGTGTGTTTGTAAAACTTGATAGTTAAGTGCTTCAAACTTTTTATCTATTAACTATTCTTGCTTTATTTTTTTAATATTGAGCACTTTATTTGTAAAAATCTGCTCACCTTTAAACCCCAGTAATTTACTGGACTACATGTTTTGTTAGGTGTTAACAATTTGTGTTTTTATATGTACTTAACATTTTAGGAGGGCAATCTGTATATGTATATGATGAATTTAATTTTAAAATAGAACTGAAGTCAACACCGAACTTATAAATATCAAGCTTAGAATGTAGAAAATTTTGGTTCAAATATTGAATTGCTATTGATAGAATGAAGAAGGGAGTTTCTTAAATAACTATCCCTGTGTGAAATTCAAAGCTGATTCTTGCTGGCCATGAGATATACAGTCTGTTTTTTGAGACTCAGTCTGTAATTTTTTTCATTTTCTCTAACCAGATGGAAAAAAATGTCAGCAATATAAATGGTCCTTTGAGACATTATTGTTTGACATATGTAGCTGAACAACATATGGAATGTGAATATACACATAATTATATATTTGTACATTTGTCACTCACCACTCATTCAACTCCAGATAGGTGTTGTGACCTGTCAGTCCAGAAGCACCTTTACATATTGAGGTCCTCTATTAATATAAGTAGTGAGACTGTATCCATTGTCGGCTTGCTTAGCCTGTTGCATAGTCTACACCACTTGGTATTCCCCAGAAGTCACCTATCTAAGTAATGACCAGGCTCAACATTATTTAACTTCAGTGATTGGCTGAGAACTGGTGTTTCAATGTGATATAGCAGTATGTGGATGGATGGATGGATGGATGTGTGTGTATGTGTGTGTATATATATATATATATATATATACACATATACATACACACACGGGGTGTCTCCCAAAAATGTACTCAATTTTTGAATTCATTGTCGGTTTGAATATTTATAAACATGCATTTAATTTAAACCATTAATCTTTGTCAGTTTGTAAACATTAATATTTCTTAATTTTAACCATTAATCTTTGCAAGTCAAACCTTGCATTTATTGTCATACAAAGAGTACATTTTTTTTTTTTTTTTTTTTTTAGGACATCCTGTGTGTGTAGTAATCTCAGTTAGGCTTGACATTGATAACTTTGTGTTGTAAAGAAAACATTGAAATAATAAATTTAATAGTTTGTGCAAACAAAATTCTTTTAATTTGTTTTTCCAGCTCAGATTACTTTGTGCATGACATTAAAATAACCTATAATAGAGAAATATAAGTTTCTTCACAGAAACCTGAAGGAAAACTTTTTGTGACTTTCACTTAATACACAAAATTTTAATTCAGTTTACACATTTGATATTAACAATAAAAATGTTGCATCATTACTCCAACAAAAATTACCAATGTAAACATCTATTAAAATAATACAATAAACTGTTTGAAAGAAATAATTCTATTTACTTGCTTTGTGGCATCAATCATGTGAATTATTCTTTGGCTTGCTGATCTTAATTAGTTTTCTTAACTTTTCTCATCAACATTTTAACTAATGAAAAAAAATTAGATCTTATTTGTGAAAGTTATAAAAGTCTTTACTTATTTTGGAAAAGGAAGGCAAACACATATCTTGAGTATATGATGAGATACCTACTAAACATCAACAAATGTAAACATGTGAAACAAATTTTATGTGTTGACTTTGTCATATCTAAATTGTATTGATAAAGCTGGATGATGAAATCTAATCTGCTTGATAACTGATAGAATTAAGCAACCCTGATCTCCAATAAGCTTCTTTTTTTATGACAGGCTGTCCTTTCTTTTAACTAATATGATCTTTAATCATTGTCAGATATTGATCTTTTTCTTTTCTTTTTTTTACCTTTTTTTTTTTTTGCCATTGCTTGACTAATACTTTCACATGTAAACATCCAGCTGATAATTTTAGATGCTATTATTTTTGTTTGTAACTGTTTGAAAAGATAAGCTATTGACAGGTTAGGAACAGACCATTTAATACAAGCAACCATAAATGGCACTTTGCAACTGACATAATTTACTTTTTCTTTTTTTTTAATCATTTCATCCCAAGCAAAGCAATAAAGCCACTAAAACTCAAGGGGGTTACTGAGTGTTAGAGAATGAGAAGAAAAAAATCACTTAAAGAGAGAACATTAAAAGAACAAAAATTAAGACAGAAGATAACAATTGATGTTGATCTTCGAAAGTTTAAATGCAAAGTTGACTGGGAAGTAAGAAGCCAGAATAGTTCCACAAGTGAGAAGTGCTATAGAAGAAACTGTTAGCATAGAACTTATGGTTACATCTAGCCATTTCAACTTTAAAAAGATAAGATCTTGTCACCGATCTAGTATTGTGCCTAAATTCGTAAAACTACATAGCATAGAGGAAAGTTCATTAGAACAACTACCATGAAAGTATTTTTAGAAAAGCCACAAGGAAGCTACATTTCAGTAGTAGGAAAGTGACTGAAGGTGAAATGCCAGATTAGAACAAATAACATTGCAGATTCTTCTTTGAATTTTATCAAGAACCCCTAAATATATAGCAGGAACACCAGACCAAATGTGGCAGCAATATTCAAAGCAAGGACAAATGGTAGACTTATAAACATGTAAGATAAATTCTGGCAAGAAAAATTATCTAGCACGACAGCCAACTGTCCTAGTGGCAGACCTAGCAATTGATTTAATATAATCTTTCCACTTCATGTCATCAGAAAATATTAGTCTGAGAAGATGAAATGGATCACTGTCTTGGTGGTTAGCATCAGCCATGCTGATGGAAATTAAGGGTTCTCTCAGACAATTAAGAGAGCAGCTTGGTTTTGGAGGTGTTAAAATTGACAAGCCATTCCTTGCTTCAGTTAACAACAAAAAGATTGTTTTTGAGATCAGCTACCAATTTGATCTCATCAAACCACTCGGACTTACTATTTAGATACATGAATATTCCAAGTTCTGTTGCAAGTGAAATGAAAAATTTTAAACCAATGAAAATATAAGTTATTACATTAGATATTTAATTTAACTGTTAAATGTTTAAAAATTTCTGGGGCTCCTTCAAAATCGGAAAGTTTCGTCTTTTTTTCACAAATTTTTTATAAGCTAATATTTTTTGTCTGTAAGAGAATTCATTTCTTTATGATATGTTTTATATATTGTAATAATATAAGATTTACAAGTACCAATTCATACATTATTTCATTTTCCTAAGGATACCAGTGTAATAAACTGTTTCATCTTAATACTTCTTAAGCTTGTCAAAATTATGACTTTGTTGAATTTTCATTTGTGTGAGGGAGAATAAACTGGTGTAGTATGAGTGATATTTCTTCAAATTGTCTGATTACTTTCAATCAGATGGCCCACCTCACATTTCTGCTGATGCTGACATCAGCATTGTACACTCACCTCTGGCTTACTGATAATTGTTTCTTGACTGATAACTAATTGAAATTTTATATAAATTCATGGTCAGAAACACTTATTCAGATTACAATCATGTCACCTGATCACATATTTTGTTTTCATTGGACTATCCTTATCATTGAAATGTTTTTATGAGTTCTCATTGTTGAATATTTTACAGTATTTTTCCAATCTTATAAGATACCATAAAGTCTTTCATCCCTTAAAACTTCCAAACATAAAATGAAAAATTACTCATGTTAATTAGAAAACTGTAGGCATTATACAAGTTGGCAAGCTCATATTTTTCTTTTTATCAAGGGACGTATTTAGTTGAGATTTTGAGTTTACAAAATCAATGCAGCATAGAAATTTAACGACTGATTCTTGAGTTCCAAGCAGGTTAATGTAAAAATGTCCAGTCTTTATATTTGGCACTACAATTTTCAGTAAAAATTTGCTTGGAACAAATGTATTTTATTATTAGCATTTACACTAGGATTATTGTCCTCATCTTTGTTGTTATCACATTTTGGCTATTGTGCCCTCTGGCCTTCGTTATATACTTGTTGATCTGGTAAATCTTCAGAGAATTTCAAACTGAGCTCTTTATTTAATCAATGGAGGTAGATTGTTCTCATTCTGCTATCCATATCTAGGGATATATAGTTGTATTATTTAGTACTGCTAAGTTATTGTTCACCCTGTTTCCACTGAGTCTGTATGACCTGGCCTAGGGATATAACTCACAATTACTGCCACTAAATCCATGAACCAACACAGCAGTACTAAATAAGAACAAAATGAGATATTCCTAGATATATATAGTAGAAAGAGAACAATTCATGTCTGTAAATTAAATAAAGAGTTCAGTTCAAAATTCCCTGAAGTTTACTTCGATCAACAAGTACTTAAGGAAGACCAGAGGACAATAGTCTGAGTGTAAATAACTACTCATCTTAGAAATTCAGACAAATTATTTTATTAATATTGTGAACAATTGAAAGTTTGTTAATTTGCCATTTGAAGTTATCCTGATTTTTTTATAAATTGTATAAACTTTAAGTGATCATTAATATGACTAACTTCATACAATTTTGTTTACTACTGAAGATCTAGTAGTAGTTGATATTATCCTCCTAAACTTCTTGGCACTACAGCAGATCAGCAGATGCATTCTAAAATACCTACTGAAAGAAGGACTTGTTAAAGACAATGTATGAATAGATTAATAATTTGTGAATTAACATTTAGTTCAAAAAAGCAATTCATCTGAGTCATTATGTACTTGTGGTATCTTTATTAGACAATCAAACAAAACTTAATTTTTTCACATCCTTATAAAAACCAGAGATGTCCCTCTGGTTTCTATAATAGTATATAGTGTATGTGTATATACATACACACACACACACACACACACACACACACACATATTCCCACTGTCTTTGTATATGGGGAATGATTTATTTCAAATTTTGGCTATTACAAAAATATGTACAATAATCAAATCTATTTAGTGCATAAGTAAAATAAATAATATATGAAACATGATTGGAAAAATTACATAGCATTTGTATTATGAAACAAGAAGAATAATTTGTTTGGAATAATTTATTCTTCTGAATTTGAAATTTGCAGGTTATTTAAAGCCAGAAAATATTTTTAGATTGTAAGAAATTTTTTTTTTTTTTTTTTTTTTTTTTAGATAATAATGATATAGTGATACAAGTCTTACTAATTAATTCAATAGCTGTGGGGGAGGCTGGATTCATACCTTTCCCAAGGGTATTTCCATGTAAGGGAATATAATGAGCCCAATGGGATTTGAATCTCAGCTCTCCAATTAACAATTCCAGACTGTTATCCATTACAGCACCTGATATTCCCATATGGGGAGCCTGTGTTTCAATGTAATGTGGCTGTAAGTCCTTCTGAATTTGAAGTTGTAGTGATTTCCCAAGTATAGCTTAGATGTGGCACAAGGCTGAAAGTAGGGGGCACTCAGTGAGGATCAAACTCACTACTCAGTCATAATTGTTCTAGCAAGACAAGCTTGCTAACCATTACACTGCTTCAAGGTGCTCAATTTGAAGTTGTAGCCTCAAGTTGCTACTTGTAATGGCATTTTTCCCATGTGAATAAATAAACTTAAATTACTTTCTACTTGGATACGATTGTTGGGAATTATCATTATTTCAGGAAAACTGATATTCAATTTTGACTAGAAATTTTGTTTAAATCCTAATTTGTCATTAATTTATATGGCAATTGTTTTTAGTGTATAACAACATCATAAAATATTTTCCAAAAGATATATATATATATATAGTAGCATACAAGGTTAGTTTGAAAATCATACAAGAGTATGCATTCTTTTGTTTTATAAGTGAAGTGCAAATTTTGTATATATTAAAAACCTGCAGTGTCAAAGATAAAAATGTTAAGTTTTGAAAAACATTCAAAAATGGAATTCACTAAAATAACAATATTAGCATTAAAAATTATTTATTATTCCCTAACAGATTCTAAATGATCTGTTTTTTTTTTTGTTTTTTTTTTGTTTTAATATTTGAAATACTGAAGTTAAAAATGAAACTTGATAGCATGTCTAAAATTCCATATTCCTGGGTATTAAAATGGAAAGGAAATAGACATTAACATAAAGAAATAAAGTATAAAACAAGACATTCTAGTCAAATATACTTGACCACAGTATTCACATAAGCTTGTGAAATGGATAATGCAAAAATAACTATACAATTTTTGTATTTTGCTTGTCTTTTACTCTATTTCTCTTTTCATATATAAGAAACCACTGAGAAAGAAACCATTAAAAAAAATACAAATTAAAATTTAGACGTTGGTCAGATTTTGGAATGAGCTAATAACTTTTTTCCCAACAACCCTTTGCACTTGTAATTCTTTTAATGTATTTTGATTTGTGTATTGTTCATATTTTGTAGGTATCACTAGTTTTGACAGAAGAAGAGAAAACTTTACTAACCCGGGAGGGTTATGTACTTCCTACCAACATGCCCCTCACCAAGGAAGAAGAGAGAGCTCTAAAATCAGTCCGAAGAAAAATTAGAAATAAGGTCAGTTCACAAATTACTTGTTTTTATAAAAAGTTGCAAAATGCTGTTAATTTAAAATCATTATTTTGTTTGATTTTTGTCACATCTATTTTTACCACCTTGTAGTTTGAAATATAAATTAAGGAATATTTGAACTATGTGTTATGTTGAGTGGATGGGATAAATTCCTAAAAGTGATAATCTTAATAATCTTAAAATTATAGTTTTAAACAATTTCAGCAAGCTATTCTAAACAAATCTTTTTCATGTTTTTTTACATTTTTATGTATATAAGCAAATAAAGATATACCCTTTATGTATGAGAGAATAAAATTAAAAATGTTTTTCTCTCTCTCTCTCTCTCTGCTGAATGATGGTAACATCTATATACACTGAATTAGGCTGCAAGTGATTTTAATCTACTCAGATGTAAGCAAACAGCAGTCATTCATATAAAGTGTACTTAATTTTGAAGTCTCAAATTAATGAGTTTAAGGCTTTGAAGTAGATCATAAGGCTGATTTGATAGATAAGGAGAAATGTCTAATAATTTCAGTCTGAGAAATGTAAATTAATGCTAGAAATTGAAAAAATGAACAGAACTGTGAGGAAGTTCTTTGAAGATCATGGCTGACTAATGAAAATCTGATAAGGGCAAGTTGAGGAATTTATCCTACCAATCTGTATCCTGTAGCAAGATATGTTATAAAAAAATCTGTTTTTGTCAAGCTCTGAAAATTTTAGATGTTGCAGCAGCAAGGAAGTGTTAAAATATCTGGTCTTAAATCATGTGCTAAAACAAACCTGTAAGACTGATTACTATGACATCCATAAGGGAAATTAACTGAAAAGGGCAACAAAATAAATGAAGAATTTTTTCTTTAACAATTTATTTTTTGGATTAATGCTGTGTTAGCTTCAGCCAGATGAATAGAGCAATGGATAAGTGGCAACTGTTGGAAACCATCTTCACAGACTAAGGTGGTTGATGCTTTGCAGTGGAATTATAGGTGGTGAAGTGGTAGGCTCGTGTCAAGTTCCACATGCTATTACAGTGACAGTTCATATATGCATAATTTTCTTCCTTGTTATTACACACATGAAACCCAAATGATTTCAGGCAGATGATGTTTATGCATGAAAATTTACCATTATGTTTGATCAAAAAGAGAATAAAAAATAAAATGTTGTCTTTATAATGATGTCAGAATTACAATGATACTGTTTTCAATTTTTCTATCCAAACCGTGTCTTTTTAAACTTTGCATACATTCTGTAATTATAATTTTGAATTATGACAATGTTTCTTGGAATTTTAATAATTTTGCTAATGTGGGACTTGGAAAATCTAGTAAAGTTCATAAAACTGTTGCCACATCATAAGTCACATGTAGTTTATTCTAACTGATACATATGTGAAATATCCTGAACATTAATGATGCAAATATTCCTGTAAATTATTTTATTAGTTTTCTAAAAACTAAAAAGGATTAAGTAGTTAATGTTGTTTTATAAATAATGACAGACAAGGATTTTTTCTTTTGGTAATCTTTCTTGATTTATGTACAAGAGAGCATATGCTTGGATTCAATGGGTATAGATATTGTTTGAATGTTTGTATTCAAGCACATTCAGTGTTTTATCAGCATGTTTTCTTTCCCATTTTCAAATACTTTTTAAAATGACTTTGTTGACCTATTTCATTAATAGGTTGTTTTTCCTTTAATTTTATGAATTTTGTTTGGTTGTCAAGAATTGTTTTGAAATTTGTAGTTGTAGTCTTGGTGATTTTAGGATTACATATATGTTGCTCTTATTACAATATCTTTATAACTTTGCACTCATATCAATAAACATTTAAAACTTCACAATATGACCTCCACTAATAGAAGATAAATACTTATAAACAGAACATTTATACTAATTTTATTTTATTTTTTTTTTTTTAAATCTAAATATTAAAAACCTTAACCATAAAATTTTAAAAAGTATAAAACTAAACAAAATCTACAACATTGTAATTGCAGTTTATCTATTACACACTTGAAAAATTCACAGCCTGAGTAAGAAGTCCATCCCAAAAAGTGGTGTTGGGCCAACCAAGAACATTTCAGCATCCACTTGTATATAAGAGCACCAACTCCTGCCTACCTATAAAATGTTAAATATTTTATAGCGTGTGACAGGCAGTAGCAAAACTCAAAAAAACAAACTTGCAAACATATTTTACACAAGACCCTCAATTCTGCAAATATATAGTTTTAGAAATATCCTTGGGACCATTGCCAAATTTAATGTGCATTTATTTCTAATTTTAATTTGTAAATTGTCATCAGTTATTTCTTTAATAATTAACTTTTCAAGTATTTGTTTTTTTTTTATCTAAAGGAAAACATCAACTTACTAATAAAACAAATATGATATGGAAAAATCTTATTTGCAAAAATAACATATATATATATATATATGAGAAGTTCTGTATTGCAAAAAGAAGAAAATGTATACTTTTTGTGACAAGTTTCTTAATAGAAAATCCAAAATCATCTCTAATAAAAAAATTACTTTTATTTTTGTTATTGTCACAACTTTATATTTTGAGAGAAATACTTTATTTAAAATATCTGACAACATTAGTTAAATGTTATTAAATACACCTTTGTGAAATATCATTCCTTACCAATCATCCCTTTTTTTTTTTATCTTGATGTAAATTAATTATTAAAGAAAAACAAAGCATTGTCTTTTCTCACAAAGTTGGTTTAAATTTTCATATTTTGTGCATTCATTTCTTAAATCTTGAACCTATTTTTTTTTAGATCTCGGCCAAGGAGAGTCGAAAACGAAGACAGGAATATGTGGATGGGTTGGAGAAGAGAGTTAAATTCTGCACTGTAGAAAATCAACAATTACATAAAAAGATCATTTCTCTTGAGAAACAAAATATGTAAGTTTTTTTTCCTACTTTTTTTCATTGTTCCATTGAAAATGTTTCTTAATGTTTATCTTGCAACTTCTCAAATGAAAAAAAAATATCTCATTCCACAATATTTCCTGCTTTATCTATATTCTCTGACATCATGGAATTTTAAGTCTTTAATAAAACATGCAATGCATTCATTTTATGTCATGTCTATAATTACCATTTTTCATATATATAACCATTTGATAAAAAAAAAATTGTCTGCAGCAGTTATAGTATGATGGTTATATCTAACAATATTAAACACTGCTGCATTTTTAACAATATTTCAACATTAAAATGTTGATACCTATATTTGCTAACTTTTCTAATAGCAAAAAGAAAAACTGAATTCACTATTGTTAGTTTTATTTCTATAATGTATAATAATTTTGTACAAACATTACTTAGTTATGAAGGATAAGAATTTGTGGAGAGCGATGATTGTTCATGTCCTGAAGGGACACAACACATAAGATACAAAAGTCGAGAATTTGTGTAGTTTTAATGTTTATTTTCCTTATTGGATGTTAAGGTTGCAGCCAATTACAATTTGTGACACTTTTGCACTGAAAGAAATTTTTTCTTGTTAATTTGTGAATAAACACTTTCTGTTCTGACTGACAATAAGTAGAGCAACCATTATTCAAGAAATTTGATTGCCTAGTTAACTTTTTTGTTTTTCCTGTTAACTGATAATAATGGGAGGTGAACACTCTGGGTTATTCCTAAGCTAAGTTTGAACCAAACCAATTATTTTATGCTATTACAGTTAAATGTATATTTGAATTTATTTAAATATATAATAATGTGCTATTTGACATGGGGAATTTAAAGATAAATATAGCATTGATACAATTAAAATAACTCAGCATATTGAGTAATATTGCAAATTCTGTCTCTATTTTTTTTTTTTTTTTTTTTTTACCACAGTAGTAAATGCTGAGAAAGTTAAGTTTACAAACTTAGTAATGAACAATTGGTACAATAGACATAAAAATGGTCTGTTGCCAAAAAACATAGTTATGTTTCAGGTTTGAGCAAATTTGTTCTTTTTGATTCTATGAGGAAGTTAAAACTTAAATACTTTTTTATTCTTCTGGTCATAAAATCTTTTACATTTGTTATTAGTCTCTTCATCTTCACCTCTTAAACTATTTGTGAAATGTCAAATCATTTCTTACCACACTAAAGTTTGCATATTAAAGTAATAAAAATAAAAATTGATTGAAGTTTTCTACTTTTTTTTTCAGATCTCTGGTGACCCAAATGAAGAAACTACAGTCTTTTATTTTGTCTTCAACAAATAAACCTGTTCAGACCAGCACATGTGTCATGGTGAGTCCTTTAGAGCAACACACATACTGTTATGCTTTTATTTTTCTTTCTCTTTACTGTAGTTTGTTTTTGAAAGAAAACTCTGAAAACACTAAGGTTGCTCCAAAAGTGATGCCTTATATTAATTTCACTGGACCTACAGGGACACAATACAAGTATTGAATAGAGCAAGTTTTCAATATTTTCCCATGAAGCCACTACCATTGGCAGGTAGAACTTAAAGAAGAAAACTTTAAAAATTCCAATTTTTAAAGTTTGTTTGTTTTGTGGGTCGACACATGCACGTTCTTCTTTTGTCTCTATAAATGTTTAGTAAGCACTGAAGCATTTCATTTTTTTTTCTGCATGGAATAATTTAATTCATTGGACACACTTTCTTATCAGCTTCTATTTTGCTGTCTGTTACAAGGTAAAAATAATTATGAGCTAGTGGTGGGAAGGTTCAACCTTTTAGCATTGTAGGCTAAGTCACTATTAGATTATAATTGTATAAAAAGATAGATGATATAGAGTGCAGCAGAAATACCTCCCACATGGTGTCTTTGGCTAGCTAATGTTTTACCATTATAAGAGAGAGATTTCTGCTGCCCTGTATAAAACTCCCCACCAGTCTCATTAATCTTTGTCCCATGTCTACAAATAGATAAACAAAATTTCCTCTGCTCTTTTATTTTTTAGCACATTAGTTTTCCTGTTTTAATTTGTAAGCTTTATATCGCAACTAAAATCATTTTAAAGGGGAATTTTTTTTTTTTTTTTTTAATCCTACTTTTTACTGATGAATTATAAAGAGAGAAGAAATTGAGTTGAAAATGGAAAAGTGGATAAGAAAACTGATACTTCATCTGCTACTCTTCTTTCTTTAGAGTTAGGTATTTGTCTGACGTTTAAATCTATTATCTTTCAGGTTTTGTTGCTGTCATTTGCCTTAATTATAGTGCCAGCCTTTAATCCATTTAGAAATAAAGCTATCCCTGCTGGTCTGAGTTTGTCTAAAACTCCAATGCCAGGTAAGACAATAAAATGTTCTTTTCATATTTAATGAAACTTAAAAAATTGTCAAACGATAATTATTCATTTTAATTATGTACCTATTATGTATAAGGCATTGAAAAGTTCTCGGACGAATTTTCAAAAATCTCATCAAATGGTCAATCATCAGACTTCCTTCTCATAGCCAAGATGACAATGCTAAATAGTCCCAACAAACACTATTTTCATGCTTGGATGGAGTACATTTAATTCCAACAGAAACTTTAAAAATTATTCCATATTTTGAAAGGCTTTTCTCTACTTCTCATGTGTAAGGAAAATTATTAAAACTTCACTTTTAACCAGCTATAGTTTCTAATCCTTACTTAACAATTTTAAGATTTACTTTTTCTCTGCTTTTGCAGGCAATTCTAGAAGTCTCTTACACAAAATGGATGATTATTGTTCCTCAAATGAAGATCAAGTGAGTACAATATTTCAGCGAAATCCATTCCTGAGCATACCAAAGAGTTCAGTGCCACCAATTTCGATGACAAATGAAAATCCTAATCATGGTTCCAATAATCTCCCAGAGACAGAAATGTACAAGAGCAATCAGAAATCTTATAACAACAACAGTCCAGCAGCAAGTACGGAAACCAACAAAGTGGTTCTGAAACCCAATGCCTCCATACATGTTGTGGCATCTATCCAAACAGGAAGGGGATCTTTGTCTGGGGACATTAAACATTCAATACACACAGCTGGGGCTGCAGATTAGGGTGATTATAGAAGACTTTTTTTCTCCCTTAGAACTGTCTGAAAACTTTAGCTTGACTGGAACATTCTGTTCTAATGTCTTTCATTCTGACAAGATAGCAATGCTGGGATTTTTTTAATCCATGTGATCGGATATACATAATTGTTGCTATGGGGTAAATTTATAAGCAAATGTCTGCACTACAGATTCTGTGTATCTATAAAATGCAAACACAGATTTAATATTCTTAATGTTAAAGCTGCTACATCTATTATGGTTTAAATTGTTTTTTGTTAAACCTAATTTTTCAACAACAAAAATGTGTTTCTATGAGTATCATGAGCAGATCAAAATCATTATCCATTAGGAACAAACATTACTGAGGAGGGGAAGTGGGAAGAAAAAAAAATATTTTTAAAATTATCTTTCCTTTAAAGAGATAAAACTAATTGTATATATGAATTAATACATTCATACATATTTGTATGGTTGCATATGTGTAAAAATAAGAACACATTTATTTCTTGAGCGTCTGCAGTAAATTAAAGTTTATTTTTCTTTAACATGTTCATAAGAATGTCATTATCTTAACATTCTGCTCCCTGTAACCTTTTTATTGGAGTGAAACATAAAACCAACTAATCTATTAATAGCTAATCTCAACACAATAGCAAAAAGAAATCCTGCCACACTGTCCTTTTGTTGAAGACAGAAAAAGAAAGCAGTCCTTATCAGGAGGGAAGTTTCTTAGCGTGACAAAAAAAAAATTCCATATAAATGTGCCACAGAATGAAAAAATATAATAAAAATGACAATTTCTGCAGAATGAATAAATATATATATATATGCCTAAAAAGTTTGATTTATTAAGAAAATTTTCCACTTAATAAAGTGAATAAACTTTTTGTCCAACTCAGTGTGTGTGTGTGTATATATATATATATATATATATATATATATATACACACACAGACACTACACTGTAGCTAGATAAAACTTAACCTGCAGAGCTGCCGGCAGTAATCTGTGGGTTGGAAGTGGGGATTGTGTTGTGTTTTTATTATGAAAATGTTCAGCTCAAATGAATTCTGATTACCTCAGGATGTTAGCAGGTATTTTTCAGTTACATTTTTCCCCCTTTTATATATGAACTTATTTTAATGTTGGTATTAGTTGCTTCTTAGAAATACACATGTTGAGTACCTACCACTGAATGTTTCTCAAAGTGTGTATATAGCAAAAATATCCAGAGTGTTTTCCTTTTTTAAATCAATTGTTCTGGCAATAGTTGCATTCATATTATAAACATTGACATCCATTGTCTTTCAGTTTATTTTTTTAAAGCATGTTTTATTCTTTTCTTTAAAATAGTTTTAATCCTACACTATTGACAAGATAGAAAAATGAGGTCAAAGGTAATGTTCTGTCTACCCAATCAATTGACAAATACTTTTATTTCTACTTTTACAGTTTCACAGAAGTGAAAACCTCAGATTGTCTTTATCTTTTATAAATTGAAGATAAGTGATTATTAACATCTATGCATGGGTTCTTAAGTCTATTTATATCCTCACAAAATAGAGGAATGACAATTGAGAAATCAGATAGGACTTGTCAACTCTGTATCCATCCCAGTCTCTTAATAGATTTACATTTCTAATATCCCTTTCATTATTGCATATACTGTATATTTCTGCATATAAGGCAACCTTTAAATCCCAAAAATCACCTTTAAAAAATGGGGGGGTCATCTTATACTACAATTCTAAAGGAAAAGAAACCTTAATTCTGAGTGATGTCTGTCAGTAGGCTAACCTTAGCCTCAGTGCAATAACATACATGAAGATTCACATTATCAAATAAACAGGTAAGAAGCCAGATATGTGGTGGCATAACTTCATAATAAATTGCCTATTTAAGAATAATTCCATATCAACTGGTATCCATGCAAACATTTGAGTTAAGATTGCATTCTTTTGTGATTGTTGATGAAATATAAGTAAATGGCTAACAGTACACCTGGTTGCTTGTAATTGTTTAGATATAGGAAAAGAAGAATCAGTATTTGTTAGAGATCACATGATGAAATGTAAACAAAACAATAGTTTTCCTTTTAGGGGATGTATAAATAGAATTGGTTTCTTTACTTCATTTGTTTATTTTGAATTTCTAATGATACAGTAACTAACATTTCCAATAACATTATCTTTATATAATCAATAAGTAGTCTTATACTACATCATGAAAATTTGCTATATTTTTTGACCTCATCTAAAAATCACTTTTATATGTGGAAATATACAGTGCTTATTTTCTTTGACTATTCATACTAAATGAATGTAGATGTCACAGCAAAATATTCATTACTTCATCTTTTCTACTCATTAGATTAATGAATATCTTAACTTTTAATCTACATACACACAATTATTTACAAACAAAGTATATATCAATATTTATTAAGTCATGAAAAAAAATAATATACCTATATAAATGCGCATTTGTTTGAGTATAGAAAAGTAATGTATGTCTACATAAACCAAAGTTTATTCAAAAAGTTCCTCAAGAAGCCAGTCATGAGATTTTTTTTTTTCTACCAAGCAAATATATTCAACACCGACCCTCCTACGCACAAAAACAAAAGCCAAGGCACTCTACAAATTGTACAAACTCCAAACTCACAAATTCATTTTTTGTTACTCTTTCTTCAAGATTGTGTTTAACTTACCAAATAATATCTGTTTGCTGTGTTCTGGATGGTAGACAGATATTTGTGCTAATCTTGGTGGGATCAGCTTCATAAAACCACAAGTGAGGGGGTGGCTAAAACAAGAGGTAAGGATTGTTAAACATTCAGCTTTCTTTATGACGATGAATTCTCAAATAAGGAACAAATTTTTGTTGCATGAAACAAATATTTTGCTTGCTTAGCCTCTTTTAAATTGTTCAAATTATCTGAAACTGCTGCATTAAAAAGAAAACAATGGTTTTATGTAAAAGTCAACTGAACACACCAAGATTGATTTTTTTTAATTTTTTTTTTTTGTTGAAGCTATAATAAATAAATATATATAAAATGGAAGTGTTTTTTTTTTTTTGTGGTTTTTGCTTTCTTATCTGTTGCTTTGTAAAACAAAAATGGCTGTATTTCATGGATTGTCTATCAACTAATGATTATCTTGTCAAAAGGGACACATTGATAACCAGAGGTACCCCCCATCATGTATAGCTTAAGGCGGGGGTGGGCAACTGTTTTGGCTTGGGGGCCCACTTTGAGAGGGTAGTGGAGGGCCACATCTTCTAAAACCTATTCATTAGTTAACACAACATTTCATTTAGCATGAAGTGTAAATTGCATAATAATAAATAAAACAATAGTGGTACACAAAAGGTTTTATTAAATTTATTTATATGCAAATTACATGTCAGCCAGCACAAGTAATTTAATGAGACAAATGTAAACACACTTTTTTCTACAGTTATTTTGAAATCAAAGTGAGGTTGCTTGTTGAGATCCTCATCATTGCATGCAAGTTTATGTCAGTCACAAAGGATCTATTTTTACTCTTGTTGATTTTCATGGAAGAAAAATTTTGCTCACAAATATTGAGTGGATCCAACAATTTCTTCACGCATGGAAATTTGTCAGAATTTTACAAATCTCTATCAATGTCACAAAATTAAATATTTCTTTCAGCATGTGATTTGACTGCATGTCAATTAGTTCAGGTGCTGTACCAATATCATCAGTGAATGGATAAATTGAATTCAGGCTCCAATTTTCTTGAAGTCCTGAAATCTTCTTGTGACCTCATCTTCAATTCAGCAAATGATCCCTAAACTTGGAAGAAACACTTACAGACATTTTGTTTTCCCGCCAAAAAGGGAAATGACAAAACTTGTCCTCATCTGTTTGCCTTGCAAATAAACCTAGTTTTGTTTTGAATTGAGCTCACATGCCCCAACATTTCATGTGCAAACATCCCCTTTCCCTGTAATGTCATATTGATTTAATTTCTCAAACATATCAGTTGCAAACATCTCGTATCTCTACTCCTCACATTTCATTTTGGTCAAAACATCACATGGAATACCTTTTATGTCCTGAAAGAGGAAGTTTACATTCTAATTTCCAAATGTTTTAGGACTTTACCCAGGCTCAACCACCAAACACTGTTGTGGTAAACCATATCTCTATACTCTGCAACCATGTCCTCTAGCAGAGATTTAAATTGTTGTTGATTGAGCACCCTTGCTCTGATTGTGTTCACCATGCTCACTACAGGATCTACCACATGCTTTAGGTCCAGTGCAGCGTTACAAAGGCTTTTCAGATGCAACACATAATGTAAAGACAAGATATCACTGTCTGTGTTTTCTGCTTTTAACTTGTTCTCTAAAAGTTTAATAATTCCCACGTTTTTTTCCAGTAAATCCTCTGGCTCTGTCTGTTGTGTTATGAAATAAAATAAGACATATCTCGGCTGATTTACAGGCAAATACTCAAGAGCGAGAGCCGGATGTGAACGGGACAAAACCCCGTCACAAAATGACCATTATCTTTGTTTACAAATGTTCCCGACACACGTGTTCCGGTCAAAATAAAATAATATTTAAAGTGTTCTATTTTTCATCCAATAAAAATGCTTCCCTCCTAATTATGCTCGCTTCATTTTTCGAGCCTGTTAAGCCATAAAAAAATGCTATAAAAGGGGTCACAGGGAAGTTCAGCAGGCAGTCAACAGGTGCCCAGGGTAGAGACCTGTCATGGTCAGCAGCTGACAGCAGGGGAGCATCAACCACCATCAACATGTGTGAACTACTATGAGAGATCGACCTAGATCTGAAGCCGGCTTATGAACTTTACCACAAGGTAGCTGTCCCAAACCCACATGTTCCTGTTGAAATAAACCACGTAAATCTATTTCTTCTGTTGTATTTCTTTCTTGCAACCATATGCTTGTCTATAACAGTTGTAATGCTTGCCAATCTATTCCATGACAAGCACTTTTCTTCACACA